GATTGATTAAGTACAATAAAGGTCAGGTGTGAGAGTCAGCTTCCGAGCAGACAATCGACTAATGACTAATAGCTTCCCGAATATGGGGTGCTACATGCCTAATAAACAAATTTGGGGATTGAAGTCGACGTTGGCTCTCAACTTTCAGTACGAAAGGGAAAATGGATTAAACGAAACAAATAAATGGAGAGAAATCTTGAACCTGACGCGGCTAACACACGGATTTTCCCCTTAACTTGTTCCCTTATTAAACGAACGACATACGCGGATGGTCATAAAACTAGTCCTCTTTTTAAACATTCATCTTCCAGAATGTTTGTCAGCCTAAAACATTGCACGCCGTTACTACAGAACTTGAACAGGGCGTATTAATAAAAGAGTTTCCAGATTTTTCTTCTTTTTTTGAAAGAAAAAAACCCCGTCATGTTGCGGGTAAATGACGCTTAAAAATTTAAAACAGGAACGTGTGACCCCCCTCCTCCTCCTGGCAATGATAGCAGTGACATTAGACTGCATTAGAGAGATTACTAAAAAGGTGGGGCGAGGAGAATTGGCTCGTGGGGAAAAGAGGTGTGTCGCGCTTTGGCGACTGCTCGAGACGCGGATAGGAATTAGTTTGTGAAAATGTGTCAAGGGGATCACTGCATGAAAAGTTTTCGGGGAAGGATTCTAACAAAAATGATATTCTGCATTATGTATAAGCAGATGCTGCAGCTGCTCCTTTTTATTCCGACGAGTGAGATTGCTTACGTCTATGAAGTAACCAGAATTGAAACAAAACGCAGAATTCTAGTCGCCTCAAATCTCATTTAAAACTCCGACATATGGACTGTCAGTAGAAATATGAAAAAAAAAACTGATTTTAGTTTCCGGATTCAGACTGTGGCAATGAGTGAAATATTTAAGTGACACTCACAGGTCGGAATAACTTGTAAACATAACGAATGAGAGAAAGAGGAAAGAGGACAGATGCAAAGCACGGAAGAATTATGGTAGGAGAGAAATAAAGAAAGAAGTTGTGAAAGGAAAAAGAAGACTATAGAATATAAACAAGAGAAAATAATAGACGAAGGAAGGAAGACAAACAAAATTAAAAATGAAGAAATAAAAGAGTACAGAATGAAAGAGAGAAGGAAAAGAGAACAAAGTGCAGAAATAGAAGATTAAAGGAAGAGAGAAATAAATAAAAACGCGGAATATCAGGTCCTTGTGTTGAAAATGTTCCACATAAATAGCGAACTTCTAAAACTGCTAAGAAACTGGTTTTAATAACGAAGGCCAACTTTCATACAAAAGTGTTTATTGCTAATGTGACTTATTTCGATTCCTTTTTCACTGTAAGTAGACACTTGGTTTAAAATATTAACCAGCTAGAAACCCCAGGACTGAGACTTGCAGATAACTAAGTCGACACTCTTAGTGAGATATATTGGACGTATGAGAAGTTAGCAGGTTCACGACAGATGACATGCGCGGGATTACGTCCGACTGCTGGAATCCCATTTTGTTTTTGCATATACCAATTAAACTCAGTTGTTATAACTCTTTGAACTGAAACAACTCAATTTACATTTAATAGTTTTATATAAATTAAAGAAGAATATTCTCAAATTTAAAAGAAAATTTCCATTGTAATTCCTTTAACAGATTAAAACAGCAACACCAAAATGTTATTTAAAACTGAACGTGGTGTCCACAGGTTTCTTTTCTGGCAGATCACAGACATGAAGGCCGCAGTCGAAGTGGAGGGACGTGGGATCGATTTCAAGAAACCAGTGACGTCACAACAGCTGAACTTCAGTAGGCAAGGAAGGAGTCAGTGAGCCAGCCACTTGCAGGGTTTGTGTTCTTCGCTTTTCGCTTTATTCAGTACTGAAAACCACTGATTTCTGAGGTTGTTAGTAAGACCAGCATTTGTTCAGATAAAAGACAAATTCTTCAGATCCCGAGCAAAGTAAACTTGAAAAAGAAAGTCTCTGGAATCCGAAACGGCGAACAAGGGAAGGAGGAATGGAAGAAAAGAGAGGATATTTATGGCAAGAAATGCTTCGTTAGTTCCAATAACCGCGGCATACTGCACAGTTGAAGCTGAAGCAGACGTTTATGTCTGGTTCGTTAGATTGTTTAAATCGTGTGTAACTGGGAGCGTAGCTAAGGGGAAATCCTTCCTGCGTGCCTTTTATTTAATGTTATCCACGTTCTAACATTTCATAAGACAAGATTATCGCATCTCCACAAAGCTATTGTTATTCGTATAAACGGAGACCAGATATACAGAGGGAAGTGGAACGCATATATTTGTTCGTAGCCTACAGAGTGGTTTCTGTCTTCAGCATTATTTTCAAAGGGAAAATTCTGTCTGTTTAAAGGCAGGTGCTACCTCGTAAAAAAGTTCGAAAGGTTTTGCTTCTCTCGCTGATGATATGTAACAAGTTTCGAAGCTATGAGAACATACAGACACTAACATGTTTTGCTTTAATTACTTTTTGTATACTGACTGTCATCAAATTTATTGTAGTAATTGTTTATTTCGACCTTTGTTTTTATTCGTTCATTCCTCTAATTATTTCTTCACCGTCGCCACAAATTATACAGTAGAAAGTTTAAATGCCTATTTCAAAACCTTTAGTGGAATTTCCTTCACTCTTTTATTTAACTTTCAACTTTCTTCGCCGTGTTTCTTCCGTTATTAACTTTTAATTACTTAATTCCTTCATGAATACAACTTTACTTCAGTTTAGCAATTTGTCTCCTTTCTTTCTTATGCTTCTGTTCTAAGTCTTTTTTTTTATTATTATTTAGGATCAACACATCGAAAACCAACGAATAGGTCAAACGGAATTATTACAACGGACCTTATAGGTATAAATTACGGAGTGGACTTAACTGGCTAAAGACGTGTATGCGTACGTATGCATACATATCGCTCTTCACGGAGATAAAATCTCGCATACAATATATTCCTATTTACTGAAATATTAATAATTAAATTCTGAATCAATATATGATAAAAACTGTTCATTACAGTGCACAGAATTATTAATCTTTAATTAAATTCTATGATGAACACGCATGAAAACCGTTACTCTGTTAAAATTATTAATGGCTCATTCGTCCAACGAATTACGAGCAGAAAATCAATATTAATAAACTAGCGGTTACTTTACATGACGAAAGTTAAGCTGGTTTCAAGTGTTTCTGACATACTGTGTCGGAATGCAATTAAAATTTTTTAATCATTTCGTGATAACTTTGTATCTGTATTCATTTAAATGATCGTCTGGTTTCTAACTTGATGCAAATATTCAATAAAATATCATGACGTCTGACTAAAAGTCATGCAATGAGAAAGATTAAATTCTGTTACCTTCGTAGCAGAAAATGATTTACGACGAAATAAAATCTGCAGTGAAACTTAGAATGCGCACCTCGAGAGAAAACTGTTGATGTATATTTCCTCAATATTCTTAGGTATCAAAACACACTAATCTATACACTTAAGTAACCAACTGAACAGCCAGATACTGAGTTCGGTCGTGAGCGCTATCCCCGATCCAAATCAACAAATTTCCGTCATCATCAATTTGGATGAAGCTTGTTTCGTTGCAGGCATGAAAAGCGTCCATTCATTCTTTGGCGAACGTGTATGTATCTCCTACCCTTTGAGGGCGACTGCCTCCTGGCAAGTTGCGCCATGTAGTCTCGTATAAATTGGCCGACGTTTCAGAATTTCCGACTGGCTCCGTCATCAAGGGATCGAGGCAGAACGTGTCTCAGAAACTTCGGTCAATTTCCACCAGACTACACGGCGCAACGTGCCAGAAGGTAGTCGCCTTCACAATCGTCGCCGTGAAAACCAGAGATCTCACTCACAAACGCTATCATCTGTAAGCAGGAAAACGTCGTTAAATAACGCAATAAACAAATATGTCCGCTTAGTTCAGATAGCTTCATATCAAATATTTACCTCCAGTACTTTGTTTATGGACATTTCAAATTACATTTACAGATTCGTTTAGAGAGCCTCCAACTAAGATTTACCCCGTAGTTCAGTTACAAAACATTCTGAATGACCAACTCACCACCGATTACTCTGCATGTCAGGATGACGTCATCTCCTTCATTGTGGGGCCCCACGGTAGAGTTCAACTGGCGCCCCCAGTGGTCGATAATTGTAGGGAGTTCAGGAGGAACTGAAAGAAATGAATATTGTCTTGTTAGTTATCAGGTTACCTTCTGTCATTTGTATTCAGAATAAACTAACCGCAGGGAGGAAAATAAATTGGAAAAGGAGAAGAGATTAGAAAAACGCTGTGGATAGAGCCAAGGAATGCAGAAGAATACTTGAAGACGATCACAATTGCAGGGAAATACGGAATATGGGAATAGAAAAGAGGATGACTGCTTCAGTCACCAGGTCTATGAGTGCAGTAATCGCCTCTGATTCACTAAACCACTGACAAACAGACAGTACGTTAGTTGTGGTATACCTGCTAACCCTAAAAAGTGTTCACTGGTGGATCCGTCACTTCACTAATTCAACCGATGATTAACAAGATTATTATTTGACTAATTCACTGACTCACTAATTAACTAACAGACTATGAACAGCATTAAAGCAGAAGATGGCTGGCTGTCTTCTGGGTCGTAGCGCCGTGTAGTCTAGTGGAAAATCCTTGCATTATAGCAATTTCAAGTTATCATGGAACCATCTCTACACTACATCCCAGTTTGTATTTCCACAATCTCTGTCTATAAGATTTCAGTAAAAGACTATTTATTACTGATTTATAAAACTGGCTGTTTCCATCTTCCTGCTGTAGATGTCAGTGTCTTCAAAGACGCTGAGTTCTGAGTCTCATGTAATGGATTTGAAGGGGCCCCTCCCCCCTTCTGACGTTTCGTGCTGCAAATGTGCAAGACCGTCATCACGCATTTTTAATCAGCACGAGCATGGAAAGGGTGACATGACAAGGTATGACGGACAGGTGTAAGAATATTAATGAAAATTTTATGAAAACAATTTATCTAGCCTTCACCACCAGTATTATCGATTACTCTGATGAGATAATTAACAACGATTGATTAATTTACATTTTGGAAACCAGCCAACTGGTCCTCAGAAGTTAGTTTTGTTTTATAAACATGTTGCTTCATCGGGGTTTTGCCTGTTGGCTCTGGAGAGAGATGGTCCAGCGCTCGGTTAATGACTGCCGCTGGTCGGTTAGACTCAGAAACTATTGACTGCCCTTGTGACAGGAGGTCCAACACCACTAACACTAAAGACAGTGTTCGGGGTGCAGACTTGGGGTGACTGTTGCCGGTGTGCACAGAGAGCTGTTCCACCGACACTGTAGACTTCGATTCTGGTCGACCGCGTTACTTGGAATCGGGAAGATGAAACCGTTCAAATTCATGCAGGTACACAAAGACCCAGAAGCCTGCGTAGCATGGATGAACCTTAAAACTCATTACAAACACTATTCTGTCACGTCGTTAGTGTTCTAAGCGGCCTCTTTCCAGGACGAAACACTTTCATGTCGTCCGTCTGAGCTACGTGTCCAGAGCAATGTTTCGCTAATAATAAATTAAAATTGGTCTTGTGGAATTAGTTTATGAGGGTTTAGACTGGATAAGAACAGAATGTAGCGTTCTTCGCGCTCCACAAAAGACGGGGTATTTCTTCACCAGCTGACACTATCTGTTTCTCAAGAAGGAATACACTAATTAACATTACTCAAAAGAGTAATTAGACACGTGAGTATGGAGTACAGGTTTGAGGTTAGGTTACACCTGAAGAACATACCGCGGACACGAACTAAAACGTTCAAGGAAGACGACGACCGCGACGTACTGCGTTCACACACAAAGAACAGCTCGCCTGAGGAGCAGTTGGTAACGCAGTGGGAAAGAAAACACCTTCCATTCTCTTTATATTCAAACCAGTCGTCAGTAATAAGAACCAGCGGCAATGCCGAGCACATGTACACATTAAATTAACAGGAGCAGAATAATTAATGACACTTTGAGGTTCAAGCCGCGGGAATGGGAAGGTAGACCGGATATGTAGACGTCACTTGGGGGCGAAAAAAGTAAATGACCAAACAGACGAATAGCGACAAGTGTCTGTATCCATTACACAAAGCCAGTTACGGACACAGGAAACGGATGAAGACGTCATGAGAGGAGAGATATAGAATTGGTTTACTTCAGACCCGAGTTTTTAATTAAGAGCCGTCCTGCTTTTAGGAGGGAGAGGGTGCAATAGATATATGGGTCACTTGACGGGTGCACAGAATACAAAGATGTCCTTCCAGTTAAGGTGAGCAGTAATTGGCAGCTCCCTGCAGTGACGGATATGCCCGAGTTTACAAGCCGTGCAAAATGGGGAATCCCTAAGGTAAAGAATCCTACGTATGATAGAGGGGAAGAAGATTTTAGTACAGAAATGAGAGAGGATCTAGCATCACTATTAATCAATGTGACTTTATCGGCTAAATTGAGGTGCAAAGATACATCCCTACCCTACAAAATCATCCCCTATTTTTTCACGTTTTAAAACAATCTATTTCAGAGCAAACTTGAGAAAATAACGCGGAATAGTGTCTTAACGAGAGTGGTGGACCGGTTTCAGGAGGATTTCTAAGTAAAAATAAACTTCGTATATTAACCAAGTGTTTTCGAAATCTTTCATAAACACCAACTAAACTGTCATAGGGAATAATATGGACTTATGAGATTTTAGGTTGTCATAGCGACGAGTATTAACATTTTGAAAACGAAGGCACTAAGTTCCTCTGAATCGTGGGTAAACATCTACCAGATAAAACATCCCGGAAGAAGCACCTTTAATTAAGTACTATTGAACAGTCACGTTTGACAGGTGACCTGTGCTAGTTCTGAAATGATGAAATTGCTTGTTAAGATATTATATTGAAAAATTACAAGGCACCGATTACGGGAATGGATGAGACATTAGAAACAGATTTACTGTATATTATTTACTATCGCCGCGCCTCACAGAGGCCGAAATTTGTATTACAAGACAGGTAAACAACAAAATGTCGGTGGACACTGATGTCATACTACACAGAAACTATTATTTCCACACATAAAGCAGACCGTTTTTGCTATAGTTAGAACGGACAGACGCAGAAAACTGGGGAACTATAAGATTTTATGTAATCTATAAGAATTTACAAAGTTTAATTTAAACCAGAATCACAGCCCAGATATACTCATTAAGGTAGAAATAGAACATGAAAATAATGACAATGGAGAAAGTACAAACATTAATAATTTTGGGAGAAATGTCCGTCTTCAACGCAGAGGTTGAATCCGTGGCTCTGAAAGAAGATGGAGCAATTTTCTCATAAAGCTGACACAAGATTGACTGTTCGTATTAACTATATTCAGGCTCGTAAGAATAATATTTTGTGACACTTCTCTTTCTGTCTGCCTGGTTGTAGGATAAGTGGTCTTCATTTTAACAGCGACATGCGTTGAAAAGACGAGGGAGCCAGATCTTATGAATAATAAGTCCATTTCACCCGACCTGTACTCCATAGCAGATAATTCTTATTAATTGTATCTAGCTCCTTAAAAATGGCCTGCATAAAAATCCTAAGATCTTCATCATAAAGGAGGATTGTATGTTTAATATTAGAATTGGGCCCAACCTCTAAGGACCGTTGGTATAAAACACGGTAATCATTTATTGCTCGCAGGGTTAATAAAGATCAAGCACATTTATTTACGAGTAACATTAATAAATGTGTATTTCATTATTCTGCACAGAGTTCATTACTGCCGGTGTCCATCTATTTCAGTTAAATGTATTTCGGCACTGCAGATATAATAATAAACAGCGACCGATAATATTTTCATTCGGTTCCTAACATACCCACCATGTCAAAATACGTTTTAAATAAATATTGCAGATCTTAATACGACTTAGGCCGACATTTTATGTTACATAACAGGCCCTTAAGTCACGAACAGTTTTAGAGAAAACAGATAACGTCTGATATAAGTTTCAGACAAACGTACTGGACCGATACAAATTAATATTAAATACGCCCGAAAACTTTTAGTACACAAACACAATACCAAATTTCATCTGTACAATTCCCCTAATTTTGAAGCTCCTATGTGAGGACAAACGCCATTTCCTATATATGAGTACACCGAACGCAAAGAACGCTTAAGAGTGTATTGTTTCAAGATTAATGTCTTCAGAAACAGTAGCATTGTAAAAGTGACACTACGTAAGAAGCCTGCCAACTCCAAAGTTCGGCAATTTTATTTTACAGCTGACAGTTTTAAAACTATCAAGAAATTCAAGTACCTACAATTTTTAAAAAAGACTTAAATAAAGCGTGAAATTAATGAAACACAACAATTGAGTAGGAAAACGTGAAAGAACATATCATATGTAAGAAATAGATCTAGATGGATTCAGACAGGCGATCACCCTGATGATGGAGTCAGTAAGTACCTCTCAAAGTCAATATCTACCAGACTACAAAGGGCAAAATCCCATAAGACAGCCATCTCCATCGCGAGAACATAAATTCTTTCCAATATTAAGTCTCATGTTAAGGACACATATAAGGACAATATGTACGAAGTAAGAACTTCATTCATCTGTGTCAATAAGATTCAGCTCCAGAACCTTGCAAACACAGAACAGAACATACGTGTGGAATAAATGGGAACTTTGTAGACCAAGCTCACACGCCATCAGCTTCTAAAGAACTCTGCTCCATCGAGTTGGTTGAAAATTAAAAAAAAAGACACAAGTTCTTTGTTATGTTACCCAACTTCGGATAACAAAACTCTGTACGTTTAGAGAAAAAGAGATTAGTTTCCTAAAAAATATCACTGAACTGTGAATGGACATGCATAATATTTTTGTGAGGAATTTTAATAAACAATATTTCGGACACACCAAACGACTGAAATTGTATTTATCCATGTGAAAAGCCAATTAGGTTACCGTATTTTATTTCTAGTTGAATTGAAGCGATAAAAGACTTCGACTAATCTGTTTAAACAGTTGCAAAACAGGCAGAGTTTGCAAATGGTGTCATCAATTACATTTTCCGTATGAATAAACAATTTGTTTACACATTCAATTTTCGCTTCATTGACACACATGGAAGACTTTAAATAATACATCTGAATAAATTTT